ATTCTCCTTTCCAGGCTCCCTAATTGGCTGTTAACATCATCATATCGGTTCTTCAACTGTTGCATGTCTGTTTTGATGTTCTTTTCTCGTTCTTCATTGGTGGCCTCTACCTTGTCTGACATTTCCTTGAGTCTCTCCTCTGTTGCTTTAGCTAGGTTAAAATAACTGTCTAGATACTCGTGCTTGTTGTATCTTATCTCCTTTTTTATCACCTCTCTGTCTTCTTCACTATTCTTAAGTCTTTTGTCGATCTGATTTAATTTCGCCAACAAATCGCCCAGCTCAATGGTAGTCTCTTCATGGCCAACCGTGGGTTTCTCTTCGGCCATAGCCTCTGCTTTAGCTTGTTCCTCATTCTGGCCGGTTTCTGTCGCTTTCGTGCTCACTGTACCAAATGTTCGTGCTCTTTCTGCTTTTGGCTCTTCAGTCACGTTTTCTTTCGTTTTTATTCCGAACATTATTCCCAATTTTTCCGTAAAAGATGTCCTCTTTACTTGAGAGTCTTCTTTCACCGTTTCTTCGGTGTTGCCTATTGCATCTTCCGCGTCATCTATCGGTGAGAACTCTATGGGTTTCTGGTTCGGTTCCTCTGTATTGGGCATTGGAGTTGACTCTGTCGCCATCTTCCCTGTTTCATCCACACTTTGATCGGGTGTCTCTAGATCAATCTCGATGGTGGGTTCTACTCTCTCCCCTTCCGTGCCCTCTTTCGCCCTGTTCTCCGCTGTACTCCTTGTGCTGACCATGTTAACTGAAAAGTTCTTCTTTGTTATCTTCGGACCCATTGGTGTTGCTTTGCTTAGCGACGAATTATACTTAGCTTCGGTCGATCTTTTTTCAGCTACCGGTACCCTGCTCCGCCTCATTATTTACAATTGTTATTATTTACAATATTATTATCTACAAAAATTCTATTCTAAGGTTTAAAAACTCCAAGGAAAAAGAAATTAATAATTCGCTAAAAACAATTTTTCTTGAACTCTTGTAAGCTCTTTCGTGTTAGGTTAGGATAGGGAACGTGTTGAACGTGTTGTTATACTTGGTGCTTCAACCTAACCTATTACTTTTGTAGTACCCCCTTCCTAATGCTGTTCCAAGACTTTCTCTTTACCGTCCCAAGACCGTTCAGCGTTGTCCCTGTACTTCTCGTTGGTACCTTTAGACCAGCGTCCCAAGACCAGCGTCCCAAGACCAATGGCCCAAGACTAACGTCCCAAGACTAACGTCCCAAGACTAACGTCCCAAGACCTATGTCCCAAGACTAACGTCCCAAGACCAACGTCCCAAGACTAACGTCCCAAGACCAATGGCCCAAGACTAACGTCCCAAGACCAATGTCCCAAGACTAATGTCCCAAGACTAACGTCCCAAGACCAATGGCCCAAGACTAACGTCCCAAGACCAATGTCCCAAGACTAATGTCCCAAGACTAACGTCCCAAGACCAATGGCCCAAGACCAACGTCCCAAGACCAATGGCCCAAGACCAATGTCCCAAGACCAATGGCCCAAGACCAATGTCCCAAGACCAACGTCCCAAGACCAATGGCCCAAGACCAATGTCCCAAGACCAACGTCCCAAGACCAATGTCCCAAGACCAATGTCCCAAGACCTACGTCCCAAGACCAATGGCCCAAGACCAATGTCCCAAGACCAATGTCCCAAGACCGTTTCGTACCAAGACTGCTCTGGCCCAAGACTGCCCCAAAGCTGCACTGTCCCAAGACTGTGTTGCTCCAAGACTGTCCCCAGACTGCAATGTCCCTAGACTAGTTCGGTACTGTCCCAAGACTTGTCACTGAGTGTCTGGATATAGGATTTCTTTCTTCTTCGTTGTAGGGACTTCTTGGTTGTCTGTACCTTGTACCACCACTCAAGCTCTAGTGAAAATTTTCCCAAAAACCCTCTCTTGGTTGCCAAATCTGGCCCCCCTTTTTTAGTTACCTCTTTTTGAATGTTCCCAGCAATTGGGAGCCAAAACTTGTGTGCAGGTATCTTGTGATCACCTGTTTGTATTAAAAACCAATCGCCAATCTTCCCCAAAACGCAACAATGTATATAGAAAAAATAAAATTTTATACCGAAAAAGAAAAAAAAAAAAAAAAAAAAACAGAGTAATCAACCCACCTAAAATTCAAAGGAGACAAATGTCAACCTTCTTTCAAAAAAAATGTCTGGTACCTAATTGCCACGCGTTTTCCTCCCCCCACTAGTTGTCTTATGAGGTGTCACGAAAACTGTCTATATCCGTTCCCCCCTACCGATCCAACCAGCGTACCAATCTTAACTCGAGATAAGTTTTGGATGTCCACCTATTGTTACCACGCGTGTTGATGGCTAATGTAACTAAATCAACGATGTCGATTAACTAGTTACTCTAATTCCCCCCTTTTTACAATTTACAACCGCCAACCTCTAACCTAACCAGTCCCCCTGCTAACCTCCCCCCTGTTTAGCCCCCCTCTTAAGCCGAAAAATCCCTTAAGCGCCGGGTGCTAAACCTCTCTTGAGAAAACCGTAGACCTGTTTCCAGGTCTGCTTGAGTAAAAACTGCCTCAAAACAATGGGACTCCGCTTATCCAATTTTACACTTATTTCTTATAATGTAATGTGGATTCTAACGATACCCGTTGTCCGACCTGAGAACACCCTTGTGCGTCCTCTTGTGGTGGCCCTGTGCTGGTTGTCTCTGTTCTGCCCTTGACAGCAGACCCACTTTCCCACTCGACTGGTCACCTCTTCCAATCAAGTCTCTTGGTGGTCCGTTTCGATCCTTGTGAACCTCTTTCCCACTCGACTGGTCACCCTTTCCAGTCAAGTCTCCCAGTGGTCCGGTTGGGTCGCAATCTATCTAAAAACCCTTAACAACGCCCCCCACTCGGGCACCCTACCAAGGTCACTGCTAGTTGATCGAAAAATTGCTAGATTGATCGAAACGATCGGTCTTGTAAAACAGTATGTGTATACTATTTAATTAATACAAAGGTTCGATCCAACTAATTTGGTATCAAAGTCACTGTCTTTTTTCGTTTTATAGTTTTTGTTCCTATTTGTTTTCCTTTTTTGCTCGTGTTTTTGTCCCCCTAGTTGCCCCCCTTTACTCGGTTAGCTAAGCCTCGTTCGGAGAGCGTACCAGGAAGTTTTCTTGAGTTTTCTTAAAAAGCTATCACGGTACGACCGGAAGGTTTACACGTTCCCGCTGAACCGTACCACCGGTACTCTAGAATGGGCATGTAGCCCGGAGCTGTGTCAAGTGGGTTCGACTCCGTAGTCATGATGTCGTAAAAACACCCAGGAGCGCCATAAAAACACTATGTAACAGTCGCCTACTTTAGTCACATATGAGGCTTAAGAAAAATAGGCCCTATAATTATTGGCTCAAGAGTCAGGGACACTATCTCTTGTGTTTTTCCGCCTCAAGAACGGTCGGAGCCAATTCGGTTCGCTTGCGACATGAGACTGGAACCCATTACAGCTTAAAGGCCACTACCAAAATACCCCCCCACTCTAGAAATAAAGACGTCCCCATACTTAGGTCTCGGGATACCCAAAATACATGAACGCCGTTAAAAACCGGGTCGGAACAATCCGCTTAGTTACTTTTTATTGGACAGTGGAACTTTGATCCATTTCAGATGGATCAACCTAAAACTCGCCTTATCTCAACATAACTATCATAAAATACACTCGAGAAATTTAAATTGGAACTTACATATCGACGCACTTGAATATGAGGAGTAAGTTATAACTGAGCAGCTTGAGAATTAAGTAATATAACTAAATAAGTTTTAAGGCCAATTAGTTTCAATAACAGAAGTAAGTTTTTGTCTCTAGAATCAAAGTCTCTGAATGAACCCTTTGGACACTCGAGTTGTCCACTCTTCCATTCAGAGTCCACTCCTTTCCATTCGAATAATTGTTCTGTCTCAAGTCCGTATTCGATTCTCCTGTTTTCAGGACAAGACAGCTCTACTCTCTTGATATTTCGTATCGAGAAATTGCGAATAGCAATTTCCTGCCTTTTTCTTGAGTAGTTTCCCGCAATTGTTAATTCGGGTGTTCTGATTTCTGACTTTTTCATTTTCAGTTGGTTCGAGAAAATTGAGCATGACAGGCTCGATTCGAATTTTGCAAAATTAAAATTTCACTCCAAAATTACGTATTTCTCAAGGTCAAACCCCCAGACATGACCGACTGGCACACAAAATAGGATATTCAAGTAGTGTTTTTAATAGCAATCACGTAGTCTGGGGATCCGAGACCCAGCTATGTGGTGGTCTTCGCATGCAAACGCAAGCTGAACAAAAGTCGTTTGATTGATGGCCTGAAAATGGTAACTTTTTACTTAGCCCGAAACAGACCAGAAAATCAACTGAATAGGTCGAGATGGTGAAAAACGAGTAGAAATTAGGTAACTGATGCTGGCCAGTCGTCTATAGGTACTTTTTCTACGCTCCGTCACTGTGTAGTATTTGGGCGAATATTACAAGTCTAGGTTAAGCTGTGAAAACTTAGTTTCACTCGAGCAAAGTTAATATTTGAGTTTTTCTTAGTGTCAATTTGCAAATCAAAAATTCAAAAAAATTCCGCACAATAAATAAGAAAAAATGGGTTAAATTAAAAAATTGCAGTGCTTAGTCTTTCCCACAAAAATTGTTTTTCTAATTAGTCTTTTTGACTATGACTATAGAATATGCCTAATTTCTGTTTTTTCATTCAGATTTTTTATTTTACCACAGAAAAAACGACACTATTTTGAGAAAAATTTTGTATTTTTGTTAAGATTATGGTCGGAACATTCTGTGCCATTTGCTCAGTTACCGGCTCTCGTTGTTTTAATTTTTCAGAAGTAACCGTTGTGAGATCTTTTTGTGTGGTTGTTACTACAGCAACTGGTTATTCTTCTCAATGTACTTTTGTTATACTCTGGTACTTTGGTTTACTGCAACCCTCTTGTAGCTAGATATCTCTGACAGCGTAGCGTTCTTAATTTCAGATCGAAATATGGCGTCTGATCGGATGCTCCGAAGGCGTCTCAGTGTTGAATCGTTTTAACTGAAGAAAGTAGTATCGTGTGAGATCCTTGATCATGTCATCTGCGTCTGTGCAGTATTATGTGGGCGTTGCAGCTGAGGCATGTCATGATTATCAGAGTGGAGAAAGCGATGACCTCAATTTCTACAGTGGTGACATCATTCTACTCACTGCACAAGTCAATTCTGATTGGCTCAGAGGGCAATTGATACAGTCAAGGATCACATCATCGTCAAGATCAGTTTTGTCTTCTTCGGCGGACATTGTCGTCACCGAATCATTAGCCCAGGCAAAGATTTCTGTTCCTATTATTTAATTAGTATGAGAAAAGTGATGTCACCAAGTAGTGGTGTATTAACTGTGACGCCTTTTTCATAGTGCGAAGCCCTTTCATTTTTTTGTTCAACTTTTTATTTTACGCCTGTTTTAAGCAGGGGTATTGCAACCGGTTACAAGACATTTCCCCGCTAAAAACTTTGTTTGTGAATGCTCAATTTTCGTTTCAGCTTCCCTGTTAGAGTTGGCATGGTACCGGTACTATTTGCAAAGCTTGAAGTATTCGTTGATTGAAAAATTGTTTGTCGCGTTTTCAGAGTTTAACCTCTTCTACTTATGGTTTTGATAGAATCAATTATCCAAATGACGATTACGAATAAAGCTCTTCGAAACAAGTTTTTTAGCCTGAACGATGTCCTTTTTTGCGGTACCAGTATATGTACTAGTACGTACCAGTACCGGTTTTAGGTGGTACTAGTACATTGCCAACTCTATCCCCTGTTCTCAACAAATGCCAAAAAGCCGAGCTTTTTTTCCGGGCCGTATTCACCGGAAAAAAATTTTCTTTGGTCTTTTGACCTCGGTAGTATTTTTCTTGGCTACGGCAGATTCGTCTATATGAATGGTTTTTCCTGATCTCTCAAATCTGTATCCACAAATTTGTAAGTTGCGAAGGACTCACGAACACGTTGTTCAAAATATAGCATAAAAATCCACTGCCGTTTTTGGAATAACTTCAAGTAGTGGAAATTTGACCGACTGGCATTTTTACCGCAAAGAAAAAGAGCAAAGTTAAAACAGCTCGAATCGATCATTTCGAACTTTCAAAAATCATTTTTTTCCAACGACAAGTTTCCCGCTGTTAGTGACCTCCAAGCATACTTATCTATTGTTTTCTCGCTCTCACAGTGCATTCTGCACCAACACAACAGATCGCTACGCAAAGTTCAATTTATCGACAACTCCATAAGCGCTATTGTAGAGGAAGGACGGCTAAGATAAATTAACATTATGACGATGCATTTAATGCTGATTTATGACTTCATTGCTGATATATATGCATTTTTATATCGCTGGTTTGGCCCTATCCAGCTTGTGCACTTACGAAGGGCCCCTTTTGTAATTTAGTTTTTTTTTTGCGAAAAGCAACCGAAATTGCTCATGGTTTTCAGTTTGATTTACGTTGTTTAATTTTCACTGTTCAATTCACAGACCCGTTGGTTCAGTGGTTAAAAGATTAAAGCTCATAGGCCAGAGTTCGAATCCCTGAGGGAGCCAGCTTTTTGTTCTGCGCAGTTACAGTTGCATTTACCACCTATTGTAATATATCATTCCTATTTCCTTCAAGTTCGAAGTAGATTTTTTCACGCTTCAAAATATCAACTATATTTCAAATGAAAATTGTTTTGTTTGAAAGCGATAGCAATTATAGTAAATTGTTTGGGTCCATTGCCAGCTTAATTTCTAGTTTTCACTAAAAATGTTTGGATCTCAACTAGCAAATCCCCTATTATGCAAAAAGGGAGGAGATTTGTTACTAGATATAAATTTCTCATATGCTTAACCGTTGGGTTATTTCTTTATAGGGGGATATTTGTTAGTAGGTACCCGAGGGGGAATATAGTTAAAGAGATCCAAATTTTCTTCTAGGTTCAGCCTCAGAGGGCTTTGGGGAGTCTTCTGATATTAAAAAAAAATTGCGAAAAACCGGTTAGTTGAATTTCGCCAAAGATCCTTAAGGTTTTCTTGAATATGTTTCAGGTGTTTATGATGGGGTTTTTCGAGCTAGTGTTATCTTAAAGTTTTTTGTTGGATATACGGAATCACGTAACGAATGCTTTGTTGAGTTTTCATAATTTTCTACTAAGTTTAAGCTACTCGCCTTAATGGTGCTATTTCTATAAAGTTTTCTTCAACTTATTGGCAGCAATTTTCGTATAGCAGAAAACCTCTTTGCAGCTTTTCGTAAAAATATATTTTTTGTCGTTGTTAACAGAATTTTCGATTGATTTCAGGGAAAAGCTAACAGAAAAGTTTTGTTCGAAATTGAAAAAGATAATTCTGCCTCTATGTTTATGACATATTTCTCAACGAATCAAGGGCTCCTTTTCCCCCCACCTGCAATTTTTTACTAGTAAAGTTACTGTTCACATTGTCTGATCATTATGAAAATTGACATGCGGACTAATTAGGATGTGCCAAACACATTTGGTCTTCATATGTAACCTTGTAAAACCACTCGTTACACCATAAAATTGATGGTCGTGGTAGGTGGGGGGGAGGGGGGGGGGGGAAGAAAAAGAGCCGAATCAAGTTTTTTTTTTTTGCGTGAGTATGTGTGTTTTGAGGATGAGGGGGAATAAATAACTTATAATTAGTCTTAATTTTTTTTTGAATTTTGGTTTATTCTCCTTTTTTTGGCTTAATAGGTTTCGCTTAATAGGTTTCGCATTCTTTACATCGGCTTAGTGGACTCGTTTTCTTCATTTGACGAGCTAGTACAGTTTTTTTGCATGAGGGTACATGTTTTGATTTTTTCAGCTCGGTAAATTTTCTTCCGTTGTTAATTTTTCATTGTTGTCTTGGCGTGTTGAATTGTAGCATGCGTTGAATTTTGGGTAATAATGATAAATCAGTCAGAGCACCATGTGTGCGTAACTAATTATTTCTGATACTGGAAGTCCCGAATATTTCTTCTACTTCTTCCTCTAAATTTGAAGCGTTGACAAACAAAGTTAATTTTGACTGATTAGTTTTTTTTGTTTTCGGATCTTTTTTTTTAACTCAGATTTTCCTGTGTCAGGAAAAATTATGGATCGTTAGAAACTGGTCTGATATTGACTGAATTTGATATTTTTAATAGAAACTGATCTTCAAATTGTTTCTTACTGCATTTTCAAGGTTGATTTTTTTCAGCGTTGCTCTAATATCTGCAAAAAATCAAAGAGAACTCAAATTTCCTTCAAAAACACGACCAACAGACAGTTGGAAAAGAGTCAGAAATAAACAGGCTTATTAAAAAAATCCGAAAAAATGAATTGCCTTAAAGCTCGTTGAACTGCTAGAACAGTTTGTTTGTCATTTTTATTAATAAAATTAACCTTCCGAATTTCAAACTGAAAAATATCTAACAGTTTTCAAATTAACTTTTTTAGAATTTCACGTTCACGTTGATTTGCTTTTCTGGGAGAGCACAATTTACCATACTTTTACAGATGATTTTGAATTGAACTCAAAAAAAGTAATACAAACCTAAGAGCATTCATGAAATAATTGATGTGTGAATGCACATTTATAGTTATTGGAGCATCTTGAGGGTATCCTAAAAAATTCAGCAAGAGCTATATAAGATTTTTCCATATGTTCAGTGACTCTTAAACAAATTTTTCTCACAGAAAAATCAGAGCAACTTGCTGTGCAAGACGCGCAGAATGATCTGACCATAACTTTTAAGAAAAACTTTAATTTTTTGTAACTATCACAATTTTTAAAAAGTTTTAAAATATCCTGTTATGACCATTTAAAAAAACTGACTAAAAAAGAAACCGGTTGCACGAAATTCGAAAACCTCAAAAGAATTTCGAAATTAAGGGAAAGGGAAATGTTGCCTTGAAAAGTGTTCGAATTTCAAAAACCAACTAAGATAGATACTTTTTTGGAAAAAATGAACCCCTACTGAATTAATAGCTAAATTTTTTTGTCGCTGGAAAATCCGAAGAAAAGTCTTCTTTCGAAAATAGATGTCAACATTTTTCGAGATCTTTACACTTTTTCTGTTCGATAGTGGAGTTTGCCTTCTTTTGACATAAGAATTGGACTGAACTAAAAAACGAAACGTCCGACCGCGAAAAAATCAAATTTGAGGAATTTATTTGATTTTACCTGATAAAACCATCACGACCAAAAAACCATCACCACCTATATAAGTGTCTTCACTACGTTCATTTACAATCAAAGATATCATTTATCAAATTAAGACTATTAGATTTAGTTCGACTTTTTAGATATTCCTGATAAACCAATCAAAATCAAATCAGATTAATCCTTGAATGCATCAAGAAAATTCAATTGTGTGAAAGAATTTGAAAATTGGAAAAATTATTACTTTTTGTTTAATTTTTTTTTGTTATTTTGGTTTCTTTTGAAGGCGATTGAATTAGATGATATAACGCTAGAAAACGTAGCAGTAATATCTAAACTGTTAACATATATTCATGTTTTTAAAGTAAAATGAGATAAATCTCGTTCCCTCTGTTTTTTTTGTAGTTTGTTCGATGTTTCAATTGAGATTTTAAAAAGAAATAATTAACCTGAAAATTATCTCTGTCTTTTCCTTCATCAGGGCATGTTTCCTGCCTCATTTGTGAGGAGAAAAGGACAATGCAAAGCAACAGGTCAGTACGTGTTCAACGCAGAATGTGCAGAGGACCTATCAGTATATCCAGGTGAGACCCTTTTCTTGGCAGAAATCATAGACGAAAACTGGGTTTGCATAGAGAACCAACGGGGACTAAGAGGCAATGTTCCGAGGAACTTCCTTTCTGCAATCGTCGTAGAAACTGAAGAAAGTCGAGATCCAGCCACCGGCTTGTTTTCGAATGGTTTTGGAACCACCACGTCTATGAACTCAACGAAATATCAACAGTCTAATCAAACACATGCAAAAAGCTCCTCAGGAATCGACAGTTTTGGACTGAACAATGAACTGCCTCCAAGTGCTTCTTTTATTCAAACCGAACACTCTACAAACAATATACATACATCAGCATCATCAACGCAATCAAACAGTGCTTCAAGTCCTCAAAATCACAACGTGACTAAGTCATCCGCAGCTCCTATGAAAGCGTTTCAGCCCAATAATTATTCAGCGACTAGCTCGTTTGGAGATACATTTTCATCCAACTCTGCAACAACGTCAAATTCAAATTTCGGATCTGGAGGGTTAGGTATGAGAAGAGCTGTGTCGCAATACTTTCCGCCTAGTGACGAGTCAAGTGGGGGAATCAATACTGACTTTTTATCTGCATGGGATGACGATATGCTAGAAAAGAAAGACAACAGTGTTAGTAAGCGGAGTTCGGGTATCTTTGGTGGTTCGGGCGGCAGTTTGAACAAGAGTGCCTCCCACTCAGATGTGAGACAGTTGGGAAAGGGTAAAGGTTGCTCTAAAAGGGAAAGTGCAATTGAGGAGCTGGTCGGGACAGAGAAGTCTTTTTGCAGAGATGTGGAGTTGTTCTTGGAAGTCTTCGCTCCCTCGGATTATCACTGGACTGCTTTGAAGGTGGACTACAGAAGCATATGTGGAAATATTGCACAGGCACGTGATTTTTTATTCTACGAATTGTCGAAGGCAGTACTAGTGCTAATTGTCTGCCCAACTGACCCCATCCGGAATTTTAGACCATTTGATCGTTATCATCAGGCAGCGTTGTCACATCGCTCCGCTTCGCCTTTGCTTAAGAAAGTTGACTCGTTGTTTTTTGAAAACAATTTCCCTATATTTTTTTCACTATTTATTTTAGCCAATCATGAAAACTTTACCCACCGTGCGTGTATGTTTATAGCAGTAAATACGGTTTTAAAAAATCAGAATAATCAAGACTTCAGGGGTTAATCATAGGACAAACTTTGCCCGTGTTTTACGTTTACGATCGTGTATGGAGAGTGTCTTTTAAGTTTGTTGCTCGCAAAGAAACCTGTTTAATTGAGCTACATTTAAAAGGTTGATTTATTTTTAAATAGGTCCACAGCTTTTCCAAGGCCCTAACAGCTGAATTAGAGAGACAGCGACTGTTGGGTTCATCAGACGGCGCAGGAGGAGCGGCACAAGACGAGTGCTGTTTCGGCAGAATGTTTCTGAACAGAAGTGAGGACCTGATCAAAGTGTACGGGGAGTACTGTTCTGCGTTTGAACATGTACCGAACACAGTGGAGCAGTACTGTCTTAATAAAGACATCCAAAAGTCAGTATTTTCTTTCTTCATCTATCACTACTCGAAGTGGTGTGCCTCGTATCAAAAAGAATTGAGGTCCAAAATAATCTGCTACATTTTATACATAGTCTAATACATGTTACTTGAAATTTTAAATATTTATGCCTCTGAATTATGTTTTTGATATACTTTTTTATACTTACAAGAGTTTGCCTCTAAAATTCTTAAAGAGCTTTTCGTACAAGAATTTTTATTTTTATGTCTCGAAAAATAAAGAGCGCGCACAAGAACGTTGAACAACAGAAAAAGCAACAATTTGATTGTTGGCAAGCGTCAAACGCCGCCCTCAAATACTTCATTAATTAATGTTTTCCGTATCATACATTTCGGCCATTCTTCAATTTTGTTTAGGTTTTTCAAGAAGGGAATCAGAGAAATGAACCAGAAGGGAAGTAGAGCCATGAATGTCCAGTCAGTTCTACTGCAGCCAGTGCAGAGAGTCACCAAGTACCCTCTGATGTTGGCCGAGTTGAACAAACACACCCCCACTACTCACCCCGATAAGGGGGATTTGGGCATGGCAGTTGAGAGGTTGCAGCAGGCGGTGGGTGTGATCAATCAGAACAAGCGGGCCAAGGAAGTTATTGAGAGATATAAGGTAAGATATCTCGATTGCGATGAAAATGTAACTAGACAAGTGTTATTTTTTGAATCCAAATGAACTAACTTTTTGAAGCTTTTTAAATTAAAACGTCTTGCTAGTAGCAACAAAAACTGATTTGTTTCTAGATCTTGATGTAAGGTATTATAGTTTAAAATTAGGTGATAGTTTTAGGTTAAAAATCTTATCCATTTTACGTGCACTACTAAATGTTTTTGTCTTATTTTAGAAGGTAGGATCAGTGATTGGACTTGGTTTTGGTGTAGCATGATTAATTGGTGGTGGCATGGTTTGTGTGAATTCCATTAATGTTTCCCTGTCCATCAAAGTTTTCCAAATCGCTGTCTTATCGATTGATCCAAAAATAAATCGAGCTGGGCATCATGAATGCTGAAAACTCATCGTTTCGACAAATTTGGGTTGATTCGTCAGCGTTTTACCGCCTTATATTTTTATTTGCAATAATTTATTTTTTGGACTGTGATTCAGTATTTTGGTACGTTTGTTAGTTAAACAACTGAATAACTGATGCAATATTACTATGATATAACTTTTGAACATAATATCTTCATAATAACACAATTCGACTGCAGTTTTTAAATGCATTTGATAAATAGAAGGCTAGTTATGCTTTTCAATTACAAAAGTGGAAATTAAGCGAGAAAACGAGAGGTAGTTTTAAATGGACACAACTGTATTTTATCGAAATAAATGTCGTTAAATTTGAAATTTTTCAAGGTGAAGTAGCTTTAGGAAATTTGAGATGACTGCTTTTTCATTTTCTTGACTTTTTTTTCACCATTACTTGAAATTTTCTGACTATGAAATTTTCCAAATGTCTGATGGTGTTGTTTCTGTAGTTTCAAGGAGAGCGTTTATTTAATTTCTGCTTAAAGCTTGTCATAAATTTTTCATGCATATTTGGTGCTGTGACTTTAAAAATGCTCATGAGGCTTAAGCTTTTTTTTATAAACCATTGATCTCAAGTCAGGCTAGTTTTAACACATTAAAGTTGATGATAAAAGTTCAAGAAAATCAGTCAAACTCCCTGTTGTCTATGCGAATTTTTTCTTTTGACCAAAAGAAATAACGTATTTGTAGAGATTCAATTTGCTCCTTGGTGCTCGTTTTAACAATGTTCAGTTTCGCTTCTGTAATAATCATTCAGCTTGATCGAGTTAAAAACCTGAAGATCACAAGTTGTACGGGATCTTCTGTTAACGCTAGCAATTTCTTGTATATACAACAGCATAGGTTTTTGTAAACCAAAGTTGCACAGTTTTGTTCGCAATTTCTGTGTTCAGTTCTATGGACAAGCACTAAAACAGTCGCTATGCAGTCTATAAAAATTTTTCCAAGAAATTGACGGAATTTTTGATGATATTGACGGATTATTTGTTGTCAGTCTTGTTTTTTTGTTTCGGCAAATTTCCACTTAATTAAAGGTTTTTACCAAAAGTTTTAAACCATGTAAAAGATATCAATGCCCTCAGCTGACTTTTACACTTGTGAAATCAAGTGTCTTGTAATCCGGAACTAGACTTTTATCCGAAAGCAATTTTTCTTACAAATTTTCAACTTGCTTTAATATTGAATCTGACCAACTTCCATGTTTCTTCGCACTTGGCCTAGAGGTAGCGCCGTCGCTTTTGCAGTCTAAGGTACGGTGCTCGAATCGCGGTTGGACTTTGTTGTTTATTATGTATGCAGCAATTGAATTTTTTTTTCCGGTAAAAATTGATTTGTCGGATTTTTGTTTTGTCCGACTTAGTTGCAATATCACGGATCTCTCTTGTGTTCTAAGCAAGTACAATAGTTGTTCCAATTGATTTTTATTGTATTTTCGCCGGGCACTTGAAACTTTGTAGTTTTTTTACGCTTGCGATTAGCATGCGTTACCAAATCGGAATATATACTTTTTTTCGGGTTAACAACATGAATCACTTGAATCAATTGTATCTTGGTTCATCATGAATTCAAATTTTTACGTGTCTCCAGCACTTTCGAAAATTGTTATAGCATTCAGCCTATACTTGACGAATACGCCTGATAACTTTTTTTCAAGCTAGAAATATTTCTTTCCAAAAACTGTCGGCTCATTGTTTGTCTGCTGATATTTTGTCTGCTTAGTTGACATATCATGTAAGTGATATTTTAATTCGCAATTTTTAATACAGGTGCTTTCGGTGATTTGAAATACTCCTTGTAATTTTACTAGTGGTGACTTCGTATATTTTGCTGTTTTTGATTTTTTTCGCTTAAAAATTTTATTCGGTTTGATGATTTTGGCTTATAATTTATTGGTTTAGGGACCTAATTTGGGGTCGCTTCAAAGGAAACGTAAGTTTTATGCTTTGTTCCTCATTGAATAAAATGCTAAAATTTTTAGAATAGAATTCTTAGTTCAAAGTTTTTCATGACAACATGTTGTTCAGTTAAATTTTCGGTTCTCTGGGAAATTTTCCAAATAATTTTTGTCGGTTCAGTTTTTTATTTAATTTTTTGTTTGGATTGTGTTTTTTGAAGTCTTTTCCGCAAATAAAATTTGATTCCAGACAACATTTCGAATTGAATTTTTTTGTGTTGTTTTTTCTAGGTTTTTTAAATTTGATGGCTTCCTTTTCCTGTCTGCTAGTTATAAATTCGAATTCAAGCAACCATCTGGCGTAAACGTAACATATCTGCTTGAAACAGCAAGGGTTTGTGGTTCAAATCCGGCTGGGGTCTGTTTTTTGCAAACTTGAATTTTTGTAATTTTTTGGACTACCATCCGTCTGTTTGTTTTCGTCGGCTCAATTCCTGTAGCCCAATTTTTTTTTCTAAGTTTCTTTCTAAGTTTCAGCTTTCTAAGTTGCTGTAACACCAGTGCTGGATGTCAAAGCCTGGTAGTTCGATTCCAATCGGGACTTGTTTTTTTTTGTAAGCTGAAAATGTTTGGCTTAGTCAGATTTTCGTCTGTCTGTCTGCTTATTTTTGCCGGCTTAGTTCCCGCAGAAAGGATTTTTTGAAAATTCGACTATCTTCTATCATTTTGAAAGCTCCTTAGAAAGTTTTTAATGGTGTAGGTAAATTTGTTTCAGACCTTGGGCTTATGAAAAAAATGATTTTTAAAATTTTTTCTAATTTTTAAGTCTTTTTTTTATTTTGATTTTAATCACGTTCATTCATTTTTCTATCGCAAGTGGTTTGAAGCTTTGCCTAAGAGTATAAACTCGTTTTTTTGTGCAACTGGTGTCTGCTCAAATGTCGACTTGATTTCAGCTTCCTAAATTTTTTTCCGTTGCTCATTTTGAGTTCAAGTCTTGCTTGGCAGGTTTGCTAGGAACTCTTGTTTGATAAAAACAGGTATCATGAAAATGTATGGGATTGGTCTTTAGATTTTTTGTAGACGCTTTGGAAATTTTCTGTTTTGCGCAAATTTCAGTTTGTCTCAAATAGTGTTCTACCGATTTTCAAAAAAAGGTGTCAATGGAAAGACCGCCTGCTCCCTTGTCGGCCTGCATACTCCCCTAGTTTCCTTTTACTCTACTACTTTGCTTACAGCCTTCGAAAAACTCTGTTGTTTGACTTATATTTTGATTTTTGTTCGTTTTCTGAAAAACTACCCTCTCAAATCTAAGATTTTGTTTCCAATGAATAGAACGAATTTGAAAGATCCCCTGCATAAGCGGATACGAACAGTTTTTACATTTAAAGTTATGTCCCTCAGAATAGTCAAATTTTTGATTTGTTGACAGTTTTTTGAATCTTTTTTGAAAACTAACCTCCCAAATCTGAAGCTGTGTATTCAATGGATATAACGGATAGTAGTAAGCTTCCATGCATCAGAGGCCACTCACAAAAATTTTCTGCACAAAAATTTATCGCCGTCGAAAAAGTCGGGAAGCTTCTTTGCATACGCGATCACACCCATTTTCTTTTTTTAACACAGAAAATTAAGGCCCAGGGAAAAAAGAAAATTTTGACTTCTGGCCCGTTTTTTGAAGTTATTTTTCAAACTAACCTCCCAAATTTGAGTTTGATATAGTTTTTTTTCTAAAATTGACCAGTAGCTTAAGAGTAATTCTTGACTATAAAGTCAAAAATGATCCGTTTTTGGAGTAAAAAATTGAGTCTGTTTTGCAAAACAAATTGAACTACTGAGTTTTGCTAAAATTTTAAGCAAGTTGTCTCCATCTTTTTTCACTTAATTTCAGCCCATTTTGACAAAAACGCATTTTAAATTTCAAGTTATGCGTTTCGTCCGGATAGTTTAAATCAGCACTGTATAGTTAGTGCGTAATTATTGGCAATATCTGTGGTCTCGATCAATCTAGCAAAGTTAGTTTTTTTTACACCCACCATTAAGTGCCGCAATGAATGGAAATAGGTTTTCAGTGTCCGAATTTGCAGTTTTAGGTTATTTAACTTCGTTCACATTGGTTGACTGAAATGAATATCGCCCAATAATTTAGCTGTAAATAAGGTGCAAAAAAGTTGAGCAGGTACAACTAATTAAAAAGAATAATCTGCCAATTTTGAGCAATTTTTGCATGCAGATTTTTGAATGTTCAGGCGACCTTGAGAGCACACTATCTGCACGAAAGCATCGCTTTTGCATGCAAAAATTTTCTAAAGTAGGTCATTTGCTCTTTTTAGTAATTTTATACTGTTCCAACTTTTTGCTATTCTTGTCTGTTTACTTCAGGTGGTGGAGCCGAGTAGTCTTCGCAACATGGTGTCGAAGATCAGTGTGAGTAGTCTGTCGAAGAAGAGACATCGACTGGCCCAGAGTGTGACCAGAAGAATAGCCTCCTCCTCCGTCAATCTGGTCCACGACCAACAGCTGGAATTAGAGAGGACTCAACTGCGCACGGTGGAGAAACAGCTGCAACAGCTACAGGTCAGTTCTCATGGAAGCCTATTGCATATTATTAGTTCTGAAACTAATGTGGGTGATGTACAAGGGCGGATATAGGATAGGTAACTCATGTATCATTGGATATCAAAGACTGCAGAAATGTCGCCTTCCAGTGGTGGACCCGACGTGTTGTGCAAACAGCCAGTCGCAAATGGCAGTTACATACACTCCCCAAAATGGGGAGCGCGAAAAGCAAGCTCGGACTAAGTTTTTGATTACGGAGCTTCACTAGTCCTCAAACTTGCTCCCCGTTTATTCTTAAAACACTTCATTGCCACGCAAGCGTCTGGTGCCACGTTTGTGAAGCTAGTGGTCTAACCTAGTTAAAGCAATGCTTTTTTTGACCCACTTGCTGTGCAAACTGTATTAGGGCCCTCCACGTAGCAAATGCCCCCAATAGCACACATTATGCAATCATATTCTAACTAACTTAATCTCTTTTCCAACTACACTTCCCCAGTACTCAAACACCTTCTGATTTCAAAAACCGATATAGTTCAACTGTCTACGAAACCCACCTAGTAACCAAGGAGATTACCTCTCACAATCAACTTAGTCTCTGAATATACTGCAGATGAACTGTAATGGCATTTCTGGTAACGCACCTGAAAAAGCAGCTTTCCTGCGCAAGTACAATATTCACCTTGCAATTTTTCAAGAAACCAATTTGAATTTGAAAAACCTCGCTCCCTGGTTAAGAGCCTAACTCAGCCATAATTAGAAAGGACTGACCGCAAAAGGGTGTTTTTAATGCAATTCTCAATTCTATTTTCTCTACAAGGAACGTGAAATGAGGCGCAAAGTGTTAATGTAAAGGCAAACAATCCGAATCTCAGGAGCTGTCCCAAGGGCTATAAAGCAACCATTTCAACACATCTCTCAGAAGAGAATAGTGTTGTACATAGGTATGGAAATGCGCATTCCCCATTTTGGTGTTCTAATTAATACCAGACAACCAACGCAGCGCTTACCTAGGTGCCGAAAATTGTGAATCGTCCTTCAGCGCAATAACTGATCACCACCAAACTCGGCTCTATGATAGCTTTTCATCATCATCAGCTGGCATGTTATTGGCATTTCCCTCATTTTGATGTAATTTTGCGTGACAAACACTTTAAGTTTCGAAAAGGAAAAGTTGGCCTGGAAAAGTTAATTTGAAGATTCTTCAGCGCACAAATTGATCACCGCCAAACTAGAAAGTCGTTCGATCGTTAAATGTTTCAAAGTTGTGATAGGAACCCATTCATCGTTCGATCGTTAAATGTTTCAAAGTTGTGATAGGAACCCATTCAATCAGTTTGAGTGATTAAAAGACGAAAAGCTTTGCAAATGCGTTTAGTGTACATTGCATAACTGAGAAAAGCTCTCAAACTTTGCTTAACTGACTCCAAGAGATTTTTGCCACTCGAAGTCGAGAGATGTAATAAAAATGGGACCGTTAAAAACCTGATAACCAGATAGTGTCTGCACGGACCATCTGCAACATAGCTCCTTAAGCGATTAATATCTTATGAAACATTTTCAAACACTATTTACACATTATCCCCTAAGTTTCACAGAATTCGAAGTCGTACCTTTCCTGAAACATAATTAAGACCTTAAATTGTGACAATTTTTTCGCCCAATCTAAATTTTAAGTCCAGTCGTTGAAACTTCAACTCGACAAGCTCAAACCAAAAGCCTACACCAAGCCGATCATTAACATACACCCCAAAACTCGGTGTCTTCTTCGACCCATCCTTCAACTTCGAGGGAATTGTAAGCGAACATCATAATAGGCTGGCTCTTGTAGGCCTTATCTAGGGCAAATTGAGATCAAGCAAAGAGACAATGCTTGTCACCTTTAAGGCTTATTTCACTTCATGTTTAGAAAACACATGCCCAGCATAACCCAATGCCGCAAGTTTTACGTCTTTGAACAAAATTATGCGGCTATAACGGGTTACATTAACATTAGTGCTTCAGAACATTTACAATTTGCCCACCATCATCAACTGTTCTTCTCGCAATTTGAACTCAAAACGAGTTTGCTCCTCAACATACCAAATGTATCTTTTACGACTTTGAATAATTTTAACGAACTAAGGTTTTTCGCTTCCCAAAATTTCAAATCGATTTTAAACAATTGCTCGCTAAAAGTGACGAAGGCGATCGCAGATGCACTCCGTCCGAAAGTACTTACACTCAAATCCAGATGTCTTCCGCTCTGAAGAATCCTTTCTGCGCTGCACCAGAAGATTTCTTTCTTAACTAAGGTCGTTTTATAGTGAACAAAATAGACCCAAGCGTTCCTCCAAACTGCCTTTACTGTACTTTGAGAACACCTTACTTTAATCCTAATAGACTTGTGGCGTCAGCAGAACTAAGTAGCAATGTTTGTAGGACTCAGTTTGAGCATGTCGGAAGCACCCCCTCGAGGCTATCGAAAACAACAACATTGAGTATCAAAAAAGCAATCAAGATCAAAATATATCTTTCAACAAAACAAATTTGGTTTCAAACTTGAACTTAGTTACATCTCTCTAAGCCGCATTTTTAACCTAATGAAATTGTCAGCGACGGATCTAGGATTTTCTCGAGTGGGGCGGATTTTTGAAAAAATTTTCGTAATTTTTGTCGACCTTTTTTTAGATCGAACAAATTTATTTTTCGAGCTCTCCCAGAGCTCTGAAAAATCTGTTTTGGCCAAATTTTCTGCGCCGCAAGCAAAATTTTGAAAGATAAACAGGCCAAAAAAGGCGTTTTTAGGCACTTTTTGGAAATTATGACCAACAAATTGCGTTTTTTTCGGCGCGCGCTCCACCCTCAAATATAGAAAAAAATTTAGTGTAATAGTATAAAGGGGGGATATTTTGGGTCGGCAGGGTTCGAATCCCTAAGGAGGGAAGCTTCCCCCCATCCCATCGCCCCTGGAAATTATATTCATGTGTTTTAGGGATCACTAGGCGCGTACAGTCGGACCACTGCAACGTTCGCTACACATGTGCTCTCAATGGCTCACGAAGCTGTCGATTTACTGAGACACTCCACCACGAATGGCAAAAGAGGGGGAGCTGACGATGGAAGAGAAATGTATAAAGCATACGTCACATTATGCGACAGTGTTAAAGACTTAAGTGGCAAACATGTAAAGGGTGTGGAAAAAAGTGTCGAAAGAAGGGTGGGAAGACTAGCTAGTCTTTTCAGTGGTCCTAATAATCTTTTGAAGAAAAGAGACGACAAACTTCTGGACTACGAAAGGCTTTTGTCTTTACACGCGGCAGATAATAGCTCAATAGAGAATTCTACGGATGAGAATCTTGTAACGGCCAAAGGCAATTACACGGCATTAAATGAACAGCTGAAACAAGATTTACCCCAGTTTAATTCAGTCCTCCAAAACAGCATCTCAGATCTCTCAATTTTGTTCCTAAGAATGAGAAAAAACTTTCTAAATGAAGTTTTTCAGAAGTACCACACATACGCTGCACAACATGTAAAACAGGTTCGAGGCGAAACTCATGAAGATATAAGACAAGAGTTTGAAAGAAGACACGTTGAAGTCGCTTCTCAAATGGCGGCCAGAGTTGCTTTCATTCCAGCTGCTTTTTCAGCTTCAACACTGCCTATTGAAGTGGCACAAGACAAAGGAAGGAATCGTAAAGGAACAAATGGAGCATCGATGAAGAAGTCGTCGAAGACTGCTACTCTGAAGAGCTCGGATGGGAAACAAACAGAAGCGGACAAAGAAAGACTTCGAGAGATGTTTCAACATATAGATCTCTACACGTGTAAGAGTATATACAGGAGCAACAAGCCAGTACATGTAAATTTGGAATCGGGAGACTTAGTTGGAGTTATTCAGAGGAAAGATCCAAGCGGAAGTGATAAGATCTGGATGGTTGACAAGGGTGGAGACAAAGGGTTAGTCGAGGCAGTTTTCCTATCGCCAATCTTCCCGACTAGTCCTATTGACGAGCACGACCCGGTTGTGATGCGGCAAAAGAGAAATGTCAGTGCCAGGAGTTCAGAACCGAAACAACCCGGGAGAATGAGACCAAAGTCAATGTTCGAATCCAGTTGGGAAGAAGATCAGTCACCAGCCAAGCATGAACCCCTGGGTCGCACGGTCTCCTCCGGTCGAGACGAAGCAGATCTCGGTATGCTTGCACCTGTGTACAAGCATACGAATGTGTCAAATACGAATGGAATGATTCCTTCGCCTGCTTCGCAAACGAATAATCGCTCTAGAGCTGCGCTTTCGACAACCTATTCTAGTAGCACAATTCTAAATTCACCGGTTAAACATACACAAAGTAATCAAGCCATATCAATAAATGCGCCTGGTATTTCGTCGTCCTCGCGAAGATCAATAATTGGGTTACAGTCCTCTAGTCGAAACAACGAAGACACCACTCTGAAACTGTTTGACCCTTTGAGCGATAATTCTTCAGTCAACGCCGTGGAATTGGTTGGGTATAATTATAACACACCTGCCTTGACTGGGTCAGCTATGCCAAGTAGTTCCAATGCAGGAACTGCGCAGCAACAAACACAAAGAAATCAGCAGACTATAGCATTCAATGGATCTGTTGGTAACAACAATCAGTTTAGCACTGGATCGGCGACCTGTAAGTTCTCCGATCTTTCACTGGATTCTGGCTTCGGAGGATCGCCTCTGTCGTCGATGGCCAATGCATCAAATTCTCACAGACACGCAATTTCATCTTCATATTCCTCCTCTTCCCTGTTTGGTATGCGAGGCAGTCATACTCCTCAGGACAATTCACAGGGAGGCGGTGCGGATCACATCTACAGTAATCGAAATGGGAGTTTGAGGGGTGAGAAATGGCAGGTGTTGTGGAGCCACGACGCGAGTACCCAAAACGAGATCTCTCTGAGAGAGGGAATGGTAGTCGAGGTCTTGCAGAAGAGTGACTTGTCAGGTAACACTGAATGGTGGCTTGTCAGGGATCTGAACGTCGAGTCAGAAGGATACTTCCCAGCTTTATACCTCCAGCAGATGACCTGTTAGCACATTTAACGGCAATGACAAGTACCTGCTTTCAAATCAACACCTTAAGCATCTCGAGAATCAATGCAGCACAAGATCAACATGAATAATGGTGAAACTTTAAAACGTTCAACATTTCTAACTCTAATTAGTAATTTTCAATTCACCCGAATCTGTAAATTGTACATACAATAAAACTGCCCTGTTGGTCTGTCTGTTTTTCTATCTATCCTTGGTTTAACCTGGAGGATGACTGACATATCTTTTTAGATACAAATGGAATTTAAATTTTATTTTTCTTTTCTCTTCTAACCTTGTAGACTATAAGTAACACAATTGTTTGCGAGTAAAGAAAACGTATGATTGATTTGAACTGAAATTCTTTTGAATTTTTAGAGTTGAAAAAAAATTTGGTAGATGTCAATAAATAGATTATTTTATGGGGAGATTTTTACGGTCCCAGACAGTTTAAAGTAACCTTTTAATGGTGTCAGTTTTTATTCCATGTGAAATAAATATGTCTCAATTATAGTAAAGAACGAAGCAACTTTAAAAAATTTCCGTTTTTTGGCTGAAGGAATGCTCTCGAAGAATAAATCTTTTTTAGTTTGCTTGAAATCAAAGGGTATGTCACGTTAAAGTCCTGTCGCGATTCGAAATACCAAGTAATTCAGAAATAAAAGTAGTTTTTACGAATTTTGTATTTGGTGGTTGTTTTTAGTCTCCATTCAATATTGCCAATCTTACTCGAATAATGAAGACGAGTTTTTTGTTTTTAGACATGAACTACGCTGCGATTAACTTGTTTTTCAACGTAAAGCATCCGCCAGAGACGAACATTTTTTGTTTCAATTTGTTAGCAAAGAGATTTTTTGAAAGGACTGGTCAGTTTGGAACGTTGGATCTTGTTAAGAACATCGTCCATTTTCGCAGATAGCTGGTTGCTGTGCAAGTAGTGCAGAAGGTTCCGACCAAATTCTTATGTTCGAAGAAATGAGAAAAGGTTTTCTTTTTTTTTCTATTTTAACAATTTTTATAAAATGCTCCAATTTTTCCGCCAATTTATCGTTGATAATGTACTAATAAGAGTAAACCCCTGTATTGCCTCAATTGGGATTCATTGAAGCTTCAAATAAGAATTTGTCACGCGTTCAATATCCATTTTTGAGTAGTCTTAGTATGTTTATAGACGTAAATTCCAATTTCTTATCCCTATAATGTAAAAAATGACCACCCATGGAATTTTTTTTTATTTTGGGCTCCGGTCATCAATATCTAACTGACAGCCGAACAAATTTTGTGAAAAATTACTGGTTCGAAAGTTAAAATTTGTCTTAAAAACCAATCCCAGGATAAATAACCTGTCGCTTTCTACTTCGGTTAAAATTGAGTTGAAAACTAGTTAATGAATTTATAACAATAGTCTTCGGACTTTTTCTCAATATTGAATTTTTAATGGTCATCAAATGATGACTGAACCATAAATGTGCAAGATCATTACTATAATTGTAAAATATTTCTATGACTCCCAAATGTGCCTGAAGAAACAGGCGAAAACAAGAAAAAGTTCTTTTTCTGTAAATTTCATCAATAATGGGCAAAAATTCATTTTCAACAAGAACTTGTTTTATTTTGCAGTTTTCAGGTAATTTAGCCAAAGATACTTTTCACCTCCTTATTGCTTTTGGCTAGTGATATCAAGTCAAGCATAGACTTGTTCAGTAAAGCTACTCTAATAGAATAGGTGAATTTTTTGAACATTTTTCTTAAAAAGGTATGTAAAAATTATCGAGAAGTTTTTAGTAGCTCGAAATTGTTTTTTGTTTGTCGATGAAAAAATTATTTTAGTTCATAACTACTATAAAAAAATCCTATGTGTTCATCTTATAGACAATTGAACCAAAAAGAACTCGCTGCAAAAAAAATATATTATTTAAACTGATGTTTATGTGCTAGCTTAAAACGTGTTTTTTTTCAGTGTAGGCTGAATTTTTTTATTCGAATTTTGATGCCAATTTTATACTTAATCTAAGAAACATTGTCATAGCACAGGCGTTGATATTTACACAAGCAATGCTTGTGTCATAGTATGAACTATTTTTTTTCCAAGCTAAGTCGCAAAAATTGTTCATTTTGCAAGTTTTCATTTTGATCATTAACCAGCTATCAAGTATAGCCAATTCTAAGGATATTAACACAGACTATTATATTACAAATCCCTGTTTGATGAAAACAGGTGTTATGAAAATGTATGGGATCGGGTTTTTTTATTATTTTTTTTTGAGATGCTTGGGAAAATTTTCGTTTTTCTTAAAAACTATTCGACCGATTTTCAAAATACTATTCGACCGACATTCCCCTATGTGCCTTCATGCTCCCCTGGTCTCTTTTTTTTCACCTTAACCCACTTTCTACAGCCTTCGAAAAAAGTGTGGGGGGAATTTTTGTTCCAAATGTTTTTTTTTCTCAAAAACTACCCACCCAAATCTGAGGTTTTGTGTTAAATGAAAAGAAAAGGTTGTTGGAAGCTCACTTGAATCCGCGGCTACACCTGGATCTTTTCACAGAAAAAGTTATGACCCTCAGAAAAGTCAAATTTACGGTTTTGACTTTTTTTACTAACTCAAAAAGTACAATCACAAATCAGAGATTTTAGTTTCAATGGGTAAAACGAGTTAAGGAAGCTCCACTGTATTAACGGTTACGCCCAATTTGTTTTGTGCAAAAAGTTATGACCCTCGGGAAAGTCAGTTTTTCGATTTCTTATCGTTTTTGAAACTTTTTGACTTCTCTTGAACACTACCCTCACAAATTTAAAGAGCATCGTTTTAAGCATCTTTCATCCTAACAAGCTCTTGTAATTACTTCAATTTTAAAGAAAATTGGCGTAATCGATGAACAATTTTCAAGTCATTAAATTTGTATTAACTTTTTTTTGCGACAGGTCTGTTCTTGAAACTGTTTTTGAAATAACCCTTGTCCTTCCACATCAATGCAAAATTTTAAAAAATTATCAAACAGCTTTATGGTTTTTCCAGCTTTAGCTGGCCTTTAGTTCCTAGTTGATAAAAAGAGAAATTACGAAAATGTATGGGATCGATTTTTTTTAATTTTCTTGAAACGCTTTTTTTCAAAAAAAGTGGTACCGATGAGAGTTCCCCTCACTCTTCTGTGTGCCTGCACACTACCTTAGTCTCTTTTTACCTTACCCCACTTTGTAAAGCCTTCGAAAAAAAATGTGAGGGGAATCTTTGACCCAAATTTATGGATTTTTTTTTGTTTTTTCTCCCGTGCTCAAGCGGCTCTGCCCAAACTTTTTACACAAAATTATGACCCTAAAAATAGTAGAAAAAATTTTTGACCATTTTTGAAACTCAGACTTTTCTCCAAAACTACCCTCCTAAAACTGAGATTTAAGTTTCAACCAAACTGACGGGTTTTGGGAGCTCCCGTGCATTAGCGGCTACTCTCAAGTTTTCCACACAAAAAAGTTTGAAACTCAAAACAGTCAAAATCAATTTTTCTCTGGGTTGCGTCAACGCAAAAATTTGTAAGAAGCTTTCTTGCATAAACTGCTACGCATTAAAATTTGAACAAGAAACATAATTTTTGGAAAAGTCCGAAAATTTTCATTCATTTTTTAATAGAGCAACAACCAAGGTTTTGGGTAAGATCTAATGCTTAAATTTTTCAAATTACCTACTTCATCCCGCATCAGTACAATAAAATCAAAAATTATCAAACAGGTTTCTCCAGTTTTAGCTGGGATTCTAGTAGCACTGTACCTTCAAGGTATCATGGATCTGTACCGTAGAGTTAGGGAAGGGGACCCGCAAAAAATAGGAGGGTTCGAACCTGCGCATGGTCCGGTGTATTTAATGAATTTTTTCGTATACTAGTTAAAATGCGTCCGCTCTATCAATTGAGGCACGTTAGTTGGTATTTTTTTTTAAATTTGATTGGTACTGCATATGCGTCATAATTGTCTTGGGTCACTTAGCATTTATGTAGACTCACTATTGGCGTGCGTCACTTAAAAAATTTTGTAGACTCGAAGCTTTATTCATTTGGTTTTTCCCAGTAGCGTTAGCGGTCATGTTTTTGCTTGTGTATGCGAAGTGCAACTTCGCCTCTTTGTTAAATATTGGATCTTTTACCGGTTATCAAGAAAAAAATCAAACTCGTGCTGTGATGATTTTTCATGTTCATTTTTACTCCGACTGCTGCAAGTGATGAGGAGCTATAGATTAAGGTGTATTTTTTCCTACGTTAAATCAAGTGTCACAAAAAACGGCCTTTTAAAATCAAAAAACTTTTTATGCACAGGTCATAATCAAACGTTTTTACCCGTGATTCGGCCAGGTTTTTTGTTCATATCAAGAAGATACATGCTTTGGTTCTGGCGAGCAAAAAATGAGGTGTGAAGTTGAGTCATTTCAGAAAAGGGACTATTTGTGAGATAGTAATTGAAAAGTTTATAATTAAATGAAAAGCAAGGGAAAAGTAAATGAACTGAGTTTTTAATTTTAGTTCAACTTAAATGCAAAATAATTCAAAGTATATTTTGACCAAAGGTGAACATTTAGATTAAGAAACGAAGGCTGATTTGTAAATATGAATTCAAAAAAATTGAAATACTTTGAAAAACTATTTTTTACAGAATGTTTTGCGCTCGGATGTTTTTTATCATTATTAAGTACTACCCCTTTTCCAGACTTCCAGACGATTTGCGCATCTGCTTGCCTGGTTCAATTATATAACTTTTATTTCAGTTAGATTTGATTTTTTATATATGTTCTAAGACACAATTAGGGCCGCGGTTTTGTAGAAAACCTCGAAACTAAATGTCGCCAAACAAAAGTAGCCGAGGTACTTCGGTGGGTAAGAGGCGTCCCTCATTCTGGCACTCGGGGGCACCCAAGAACAACAGACACGCTGCCGGTCTAGGAGTCCATCCCGCTCCTCCTCCTCCATCGTTGCATGGGGGTCACTATCATCCGGTGATCCAGGAACACTGGAACACTTCGAGTACAGCTCTTCCGCCTATAGACCAGTTGCAGCCCAGCATATCTTTTGAGGAAACTTTCATTAGAGGAAACAACTTTGGTAGGCAATCAAAACTTCCTTGATGAATAAAATCTGTAGCATTTTGAGTTTTTGTGGTTTCCAAACCAATGAACCGATGAAATTTTAAGAAAAATAAGATTTTTTTGCCACCAATTCACTTGAATCAATTTCGGTCAACTCAGAATAAACACTTATTTTAAATCCGTCCAGTGGCTAATAGTTAATAGCTACAGTCATCTGAAACTGAGAATCCGAGTCGGGCAATTTTTCCAGCTTGACAAGTTCTTTTTTGGATAGTTTAATTTTTTACGGCTCTTGGAAAACTTATAATTGCAGAAAAACTTGATCTACCAAGATATCGTTTTTTGTCGTGTCAAATTAGAGATAAACTTTGTGAAGATACGGAGATAGTTTAGATCAATTTCAGACTTTTCATCAATTTTACTGCGTTTTCCTTCATCTTATACCAAAAATGTCCAAAAACTAAACAGTCTTTTTTTTGTCTTTTAAAATATAATGTGTTGCAAGCGTTTAGGCAAACCCATGCAGGCCAACATCGGGATCCAGGTGTCCGCCAGAGAGATCCAACATGCCCACGATCACGTGACTATCTCATGCTTACAATTTAGATACTTCTTTTTTACGAAGTTAAGATCTTCATGTTTCAAACCAGGGCGGATTTACGATTTTTTTTCGAAGGGAGGGGGACTTTTGTTAGATTCAGTAGGGCGACGAGGGGGCGGGGGATGGGGGGCCGCCGCCCCTTTTCCCTTAATTCTGGTTGCTAAATTTTTCCAAAGTCTGCCCCTTTGCTATAGTTTTACGAAATCCTTTTTTTGCTAACCAACGTCAAAATTTTTCTAAAAGCGCCTTCTAACTTACATTGATCAAATTGGTTTTCCTAGCTCCCCAAAAAGACTTAAATGACACTATTTTGAAAAATGCTTTTTTGGGCATTTTTGAAAATTTTGACCACCTAAGAACATTCAAAAATTACCGTATATTTGCGCCAAAAGTGCCTTGAAGTCCGTCTGTCTAAAATAAACATGTGCGTCTTAAATTAGTACTCAAGGAGACCGGTATCCTGTAAGGGGACTGTGGGGGGGCGTCTCCTTAAGTCAGCCCCTTGTTTCCAATACGGATGTAAAAATGGCAGAATTACATAAAATAGAATAGCGCAGTTTGATTTTATTAGCTTGTATTGTCCTGCTCTGCTACCAGTTCAAATAAACAAACTCAATTCATTTCTTTCACTAAAATCTGTTCAGCTAATGAAGAATCATTTTTATTTCATTCAGGGTGGAGGGGACACAACATACAGAGGAGGAGGAACAGGAGGTGGGGGGAGAGTGAACTACCTGAAGGGGGTGGTGGGGGAGTTGAAGTATTCGATAAAACTGAAAGAGGAGGAGATTTCACACCTGAACAACTCTCTAGCGACTCAAAAAGATAGAGTACAACAGGTTAGTTGTTTTTATTACGCTAGATTTGATTGGACACTTGGCACAGAAGATAGTTCTCACAAGGGAGCGGGAAAAAAAAGTTATTTTAGCTGCAAAAAGTAATAGTTAACTTTTTGTATAAATTTTAGAGGCAAACTTTACAAGGCCAAAATTTGTCGTAAGTTTTGTGTCGGTATGTTCATGGATTCCATAGACAAATCTTTAAACATGTTCCACAATGTAAGTGGATTCCACCAACAAAATTTTCGGGAATTCCTGTAACGTAAATTTTGTCGGCGTATTTGTTGTGTCGCGGATTCCCCAACAAGCTAATACAGCTAGCTGTTCTGGATTCCGCAACTGAAAGTGGTTTCCACAAAACGTAAGTGAAATCCGCAAATAAAAGTGAAATCTGCGAAAACTGTAAGCGGAATCCGCAAATGTAAGCGGATTTCGCAAATTGTTCGTAGACTCCGAATTTTGGTTTCTTACTGGACTAGCAGATGAACAATTAAAAGCTAGAGCTGGAATTTTTATCTATAGCAATGCGGAATTTGAAAGCAAGGATCTTAACATCGTCAGCGGAACCCACGAACAAATCTCAAAACATTGGTTAACTAAAACTGTGGATGTCACCTTTTAGTATTTTGGAAACACAACATTGAACAAATTCAATATTTGGAGTCATTGGGTTGAGAGTGTTTGAAAGCAAAACGCTTAGTATATCGCCGAATTAGCTCAGTATTTCGGATTGCATCAAACCCCAATACTGGTTTGGGAAACACAACACCGAATAAACACAACACCGAATAGATTGTGCTTTGGAAATACAACGTACAGCATATCGTCGAAATAGGTCAGTATTTCGGATTGCATCAATCCCAAATACTGGTCTTTTTTTTGGAATTTCATTTATCCCAAATACTGATCTAGTAGATTCCGGTTCTAGTGAATTCATGAGGGCAGTAATTGAGACGAATAATTTTAAACGCTATACTACATACATACCTAAATGTGAACGGAATCCGCAAACAATCGATTTCCACTTACAATTTGCGGATTCCGCAACAGCTCAATTTAACTATACGCAATTCTTAAAATTCGTTTGTGTATTATTCCACAAACTGTTCTTGGTTCCGCAAATACGGTTGCGGATTCCGCAATTTCGACTATTTTTTTAACCAATTTTAAGTAGTACAGTGTTTTGGGTCTTTGTTATTGGAATCCAAAACAGCAAAGAATACCAAAGAAAACTAGCAATGTTGCGGATTCCGCGACAAATCTGATTTTGGCCTGTTGCGGATTCCGCTTACAATGCACAAATTGCACAGTTTGGCCTCGTAATGAACAAAATAAGAAAAACGTAAGAGAAAAACCTTCAAATTTTGTTTTGAAAACGCATTATTCAACCTTTTTGCATGTTCTCCATCTTTACTTTCCGACAAACACTCAGTTTTTTCTTCAGAATACTGATTTTTTTTCAACCTACTGAATTTTATGAAGGAAGTTGGCAGATTTTTTTTATCACTGACTTCAATGCATGGTTATTTTTTTAACAAAACTTTATGTATTTACTTATTTTATATGTGTTTCTCTATAAATGAAATGCAAAAAAAAACCATGGAAAGTAAAAAAAAGTGCTGACGGTTTTCCGCTCCCTGCTTCTCACTCATCGTCTTACATCTGGATTGGCTATAATACTAAAGACTTGTAAGGTTTATCGAGGTTACTCATTACGAGCCATGGGCTTATGAGCGTCTGTGGTGTTTGATTATGTTCACGCATTATTTGAGCTCTGCATGTGAAAAACCAGAAATGAGATCAACTCACAAAAAAGTTGATTTAGCACCTTTCATATATCATTGACAATAATTTGCAATTGTTACTTTCCTAATTGAATGCCCCCAAATTCCTTTAAAAGAATTTGGATTCTTGCAGGATCTGCGAATTTAAATTTTTTTTTCGCTAAACTCAGATTTCGATTGAGAGTTTTATTTTGAGAAATTCATGCAGTATAGTGAAGGTTAATCAGTAGTACGTAGCTCGGTATTCACTAACAAATACGAAAAATAAGAAAGTACACACATTTTAGTCCAAAATAAGTTCGACTCTGAAAAAATTCAATGGAGAACTTTATAAGACGGTACCAAGATGGCAACCCCCCAAATAGAAGCTGATGAAGCTAACTTTACGAAACTCATAGGACGAAAACTACAGATGATTTGATCCGGGCATGCAAAAACCCGGACCCTTCAGAACCCTCTGTCCCAAGTAATAACGGTTCCCGGAAGTGCAAATAGCCCTGTTAGACCTTGGCAGCTAGTGGTTGGAACGGGATCAAAACTTAGTTGTGGTAGATCTAGTTGAGGGAAGCTAAAGTTTGGAACCCCAGACCCTCTAGACCCCTAATTCCGGTATTATGCCCGAAGCAAATGGTCCCCGCCCGACTTCCGGAGGTCGTTTCCCGGACCCCACTGACCGTAGGGAGCCAAAACTTGTGGCAAGAAACACCTTATGATAGGATGGGAACACGATCAGGTGATGACGACACGGGCTATTAGCATTTAGGAAAAACGCCCCATCGAGGGGTAAATAGGCTATTTACATAAGATAATGAGCTAGGGCATATCAATTTTTTGTTCTAATGGATAATATGACTCACCCTGGTAAAAAAAAATATCTGTAAACCATAACCCTCTAGCGACCTTTTCCGGTGTTAATTGACCTTCCTTGAAAAAAATGTTAAAGGACACTAAACAGGGAATAACTCAGGTAGCTTTGTCAGATTTGGATTAAACTTGGCAGGTACAATCCCCATGTGACCTCAAACCGATTATCGGAAAATTGACCGCGGGTGACTTAGGGGTGACCTTTCTTTGACCTTTGGACGCTTAGGACTAAAATTGCAGAGAAAACACTGTGATTAACACCAGAAAGTGGCACCTTCCCCAGCCTCCGCCCCTTGAAAGTGGGAATGGATCATCTAAATTATAATAGGAGGGAAATCATGCATTGGGAACCCAAGAAGCTGAAAGGGATATAGCTTTTACTTTGGAACAAGGAAGTAGTGCAAGTAATTAAAGTGGTCTTGCCAAACGTTGGTTTCAGCTCAGCTTGGCAAATGATCTATTAATAGAACATCAACCAGACTAAAAGAATAGTCTCAGAAGAAAGTGGCAGTAATAGGAGCATGGCAAAGGAAGAAGATATCCTGAATAACACTAAAGGGTGGGAGTCAAAACTTTGGGACATGATAGATAGTGGCAAGTAACACCTTATGTTAGGATGGGAACCCGATCGGGCGATGACAACACGGGCTAGTTGGTTCTCAAAGAGAGAGAAAGAGAAAACTAAGAAACCGATAAGTCCAGTGACACTTGGAAAAAATTACGAAAAGCCTTTAAGAGATAACTTCGCGAAACCTTTTAAATTATCGAGCTAAAAAATTTCGCGGGACGTTCAGAAGTTGGGAAACGTTCTCCGGAAAAGGAGAAAACTGTGAAAAGTTATACAATTCAGGGTAATTGGAACTGCGAAAGTCAGTAATTAAAAATATCGCAGATACATTCCTTTGAATGATTTTTTAAATTATATTCCGGCCAATTATAGGCTGTTCTGCTTTTTTTAAATTTTTTTATTTCATCATTAATATTGGAAGTGTTGTTGCGAACTGAAACAAGGATACAGCTAAGAGAGTACTGATCAAGGGTCCGATCCAGAGATATCGTAATTTCCCCCCAATTCTACATCTTTGGTCTCCAAAATAATTTAAAAAGTGATGCCCCGTGATAGAGCGTTGATAACTGAACAACTGCCAAGGTATCATTGCAGTACCTGATGGAAGTTTTATGTAACCCTCCCCTAATTTTTTTAAATTCTAAACATTGATTGCTAGCCGAGAAAAATCGTTTTATAAATCTTATACCATGTCCGAAGTTGCGTTCAATTTGCACCGATGGATAGTATGACTTACCATGGTAAAAAATCTTTCTGTAAATTATAACCCTCTGGCGACCTTTTCCGGTGTTAATTGACCTTTCCTTGAAAAAAATGAAAAAGGACACTAAAAAGGGAGAAACTCAGGTAGCTTTGTCAGATTTGGATTAAACTTGGCAGGTAGAATCCCCATGTGACCTCAAACCGATTATCGGAAAATTGACCGCGGGTGACTTAGGGGTGAAATTTTTTTGACCTTTGGACGCTTAGGACTAAAATTGCATAGAAAACACAGTGATTAACACCAGAAAGTGGCACTTTCCACAGCCTCTGCCCCTTGAAAGTGGGAATTGATCATCTAATTTATAAAAGGAGGGAGTTCATGCATTGGGAACTCAAGAAGCTGAAAGGGATATAGCTTTTTACTTTGGAACGAACACGAAGTGATAATGAACACAAAAATTGTTAAAAAAAAACTCAGGTAGTAGTTGTCAGATTTGGATTAAACTTGGCAGGTACAGTCGCCATATGAATTCAAACCGATTATCCGAAAATTGACCGCGGGCGACCTAGGGGTGACCTTTTTTTGACCTTTGGACGCTTAGGACTAAAATTGCATAGAAAACACTGTGATTAACACCAGAAAGTGGCACCTTCCACAGCCTCCGCCCCTTGAAAGTGGGAATTGATCATCTAATTTATAATAGGAGGGAGTTCATGCATTGGGAACTCAAGAAGCTGAAAGGGATATAGCTTTTACTTTGGAACAAGGAAGTAGTGCAAGTAATTAAAGTGGTCTTGCCAAACGTTGGTTTCAGCTCAGCTTGGCGAATGATCTATTTAGAATATCAACCAGACTAAAAAAGTAGTCTCAGAAGAAAGTGGCAGTAATAGGAGCATGGCAATGGAAGAAGATATCCTGAATAACACGAAAGGGTGGGAGTCAAAACTTTGGGACATGATAGATAGTGGCAAGGTACACCTTATGTTAGGATGGGAACCCGATCGGGCGATGACGACACGGGCTAGTTGGTTGTCAAAGAGAGAAAAAGAGACAACTGAGAAACCGATAAGTCGAGTAAGACTTAGAAAAGGTTACGAAAAGCCTTTAAGAAATAACTTCGCGAAAGCTTCTAAATTATCGGGCTACAAGTTTTTTCGGGACGTTCAGAAATTGGGAGACGTTCTCCAGAAAAGGAGAAAATTGTGAAAAGTAGTACAACTCAGGGTAGTTTAAACTGCGAAAGTCACTAATTGAAGTTATCGCAGATACATTCCCTTGAAAGAATTTTTAAATTATATCTCGGCCAATTATAGGCTGTTCTGCTTTCTTTTAAATTTTTTATTTCATCATTGATATTGGAAGTGTTGTTGCGAACTGAAACAAGGATACAGCTAAGAGAGTACTGATCAAGGGTGCAAGCAGCATCAGCAATAAAGAACAACTAACCACCAAATCAACCCTTTAGGGATGGTGGAAATTATTGAGACTCAGTTGCCCTACTGACCTCAGTACCAAAGCCAATATATTGCGACGATGGGAAAATATAAGGAACAGACCGACCCAGAGATATCGTAGTTTCCCCCAATTCTACAAATTTCATCTTCAGAATGTTTTAGAAAATGGTGCCCCATGATAGAGCGTTGATAACTGAATAATTGCAAAGGTATCATTGCAGTACCTGATAAAAGTGTTCCGTAACCCTCGCCTTATTTTTTAAAATCTAAACAATGATCAGTAGCTTGATCAGCAGAAATGAGTTGTTCTTTTTTTTTCTTGCCGAAAAAAACGCTTTCATAAATCTTATACCATATCTGAAGTTGCGTTCAATTTTTTTTTGCTATAAGGGGGCAAGTGAAGAAGTTAACTTAAAATCCAATCCAAAAATCTAATGTCGACTTTTTTGGTATTTTTTTCATGTTTACTCATCGATCCGTTGGTTCTTAGAATGGGATGAAAAACGCCTTTTATGTTTTTTTTCTATTTAGTTTTTGTTTCTTTTATGGAGTTTAATTTTTGGAGTGATCCTCTTATTGTTCCGACAATTATTATGACTGAATTTGACGTCTCGTTTTGTGTTATTAGGATTAAAATGTTGGCCTCAATTCATTTTGGAACGCATTAATTCGCCTATACGCATTGTATAAGAATGCAATATATCGAAATTAAAAATATATATCACGAATTGGCCAAAGTAGCAATTTTCAAATCACCCTTACTTTACGAAAAATGGCCACAGGTAAAAATATCTTTTTAAATTTGAGCTCAGGACAACAAAATCTTTCTGATGCTATAAAAATTTTCCGTCAAAAACGTTTCGTTAATAAGTCGAAAATTGACTCAATGAAATAATATCACACTTAGCATAGATATCCCGGACTGTCTTCGAAACTCGGAACAACAAATTCAAAAAATTGCAAATTGCGTCATTTTACTCTTAAACTACTGGACGAAACTGAAAAATTGTTTAAGAGTGCCCTATACACGAATGCGTATCACTCACTATGCAAAATTTAATCATTTTTGTGACAGATTTTTCCTCAGAAATCCCAGAAAAATTTCGCTGGCTTTTATCCTTCCCCCACCTGCAAGTTTAACATGTAAGATTTTGTTCAACTTGTCCAATTATTATACAAATTAACTATGACAAACATATAAGATCTTCGTGAGGCCATGACAAACATATTCGATGTTAATAATTAACCTTGTAAAACTAATCATTACACCATAATATTGATGCTCGTTTGAGGAGAGGAGGGGGTATAGAAAACGAGCCAATTCGTAACAGTTTTTTGGAGACCATCAAATCGCTCTTTTCCAGTTTCCATTCAAACGTCTAGCTTAAGCTGCAAATTAAACATTTCAGGAAAATCGAGGCAAGCTAACTAATCGGAACAACGTGTTACTTAATGAGAAACTTCTATTTGATTTTACGTTTAGGGTGAAGACCTGTTTATCAAGTTTTTGAAACATAGATTCTTTCTGAAATTTATCTTTTTTTTAAACCAAAAATAATGCAGATTCTTTAAAGGCTAGTTGGAGCATTCAGCGCTGTTCATTTTCAAGAACCCTTGCTTTTAGGAGGCCTTACTCTTACTTTGTTTTTATCGTTGTTCCTAATAATTACCTGATATTCTTCAGTTTTGTTTTTAGCTGGAAGATGAGAATGGTGTAATGAGTGTGAAGTGTGAGGAGAACGAAGAGAGGGGAGAGGAGGTGGAGAGGCAGAGGGAGAGGATCGAGGAGATGACTAAAGAGATGGAACAGATGCACTCCACTCACACACAACACGTACAAACAATCACTAAACAGGTTAGTAACTTTAAAAAATACATTCCCTAAAGAAACTTAGATGTGAAATTTAGTTACGATGATATAAGCATTAAGTCCAGTAGCAGCCGGGTCGAAGTCCACGCGACTTGTGTCTTGACCTTCGCGGCAAAATTTTAGCATAAGCAGAAATTCGCGACCAAAAGTTGCCATTTCAGATTTTCACGACCGAAAACTTCCGTCACGATTTCGCGACCAAAGAATAAACGGCGCAACACAGAAAATGACGTGACTGTTGCGACCAAAGCTTACCCTTTCTAGACTTTTGCGACTAAAAAGCTCCTTCGCTACTTTCATGATCCAATTTTAAGTTCAATTCTCTCTTGATTCTTTTTCTGTATTTTTGAAGAAAAAAAAAGACAATTGTCTTTTTTTATTTCGCGAATTATTGCCGTACTACTTGCTGTATTCCGCGCATCAAAATGACAGACAACGTTATTGAAATCAGATTCTCCTGTGAAAAGCTTAACGGGATGCTTGTGCTCGGGGTGATTTTTTCTCCAGACATTTTTTTACTCGACAGACATATTTTATACAGACTTTGTTTATCATGCATGCGTTTTAATTTCCCGTTCTGTTTTAGTTTTTTTTTCGCTTCAAAGGGTTATTCGGCTAAACTGTAATCGACTCATGTCATATCAACTGAGACGTCTTATAGTGCATTGTTTCCTTCCCGCTTGGCCTGGAAGTAACGCGGTTGCTTTTGCTTCATAAAGTCCCGTCAGAGCCTTCTTTTTTTCAGAATGTGTGGTAAAAATTGAATAATCGGACTTTCGTCGGTCTGCTTAAGGTTTGTCGAATCAGGAATTTTTGTTGTGCTGTAGGCGACTATCAGGATAGTTGCAAATGTTGATCAATGTAGTTTCAGGGAGACTTAAAATTTTTAAAAACTTTTTTTTTAGAAATTTCGGCTCCACTGGTGTCTGCTCAAAAATTGTCGGTTTTATTTCCGCTTCGTAATTTTTTTTCGTTGCTAATGTAAAACTCAAATAAATACCTTGCTTGGGAATGTTTGCCAAGGGAATGTATGGGGTTCGGTTTTTAGTCTTTTTATTCTTTTTGAGATTCTTTGGATATTTTTTTCCTTTTTGCAAAATTTTCAGTGTTTCTCGAAAACTGCGCTACCATTTTTTCAAAAACGGAGTATCAATGAAAAAACCGCCTTCTCTCCTGTGTGTCTGTTTAACTCGCTAGTCTCATTACTTTACCCCACTATCTACTGCCTTCGAAAATGTTTGTGGGAGGTGGGGGGGGGGGGGGGGGGGGGAGTTTTGACTCTTAGTTTTCGATTATTTTTCGTTTTCTCGAAAGCTATCATCTCAATTTGGAGATTTTGGGTTCAATAGATGGAAAAGGTTCCGGAAAATTCCCTGCACAAGTGGCTACACCCAATTTTTTCTAAAACAAAAAGAAATGACCCCCGAAATAATCAAATAATTGACTTTTCTACCTTTTTCGAATCTTTTTGGTTTCTCTCGATAACTACATCCTAAATTGCAGATTTTAGGTTCATTTGAAAAAAAGTGTTGTTAGAAGCTCCGTTGCATATGTGGCTACGCCTAAATTATCTTATACTTGAATTTTCTTGAAAACTACCCTCCCAAGTCTAAGATTTTGGGCTCAATCCAAAGAACGGGTTGTAGAAAATTACCCTACAGAAGCAGCTGCTGTGCCCAATTTTTTTGTCGCAAAAAGTTATGGCTTTCAGATCAGTCAAAAATTTTGTTTTTAAGCGTTTTTTTAAAACTTTTCGATTTTTCTCGAAAACTACTTTCCTAAATCTGAGATTTTAGGCTGAACATCGGGCTGTGGAAAAATCCCTTGCATAATTGAAAACGCCAGACTTTTGAAACACAAATAGTTATGGCCCTAGGAAAACTCACTTTTTGATTATTTTAAACATTTATGAAATTATTTGACTTTTCTCAAAAACTATACTCCCAAACTTGAGGTTTTGCGTTCAAACAAAATAACAAATTGTGTGGATCTCTTCTGTATGAGCAGTTGTGCTCAATGTTTTTTTGCACAAAAAGCTATATTTCTCGGATAAGTCAAATGAATGCTTTATTGAACAAATTTTCGAATATTTTACAACTTTTATCGAAAACTACACGGCCAATTGTTAAGCTTAGTGATCAATCGGTAAACTTGGTTTTAGGAATTTCCTCTGCTTAGCGGCCACTATCTTTTGCAGAAAAAATATAAGAAAGTCAAATTTTTGAACTTTTGACCGTTTTGTAGAAACTTTTTGACGTTGCTTAGAAACTACCAAATCAAATTCGAGATGAAGGGTTCAATCGAAAAAAACCAGGTTCGAGAATTATTCCTGCGCGGCGAACTTTTAATTTTTTGTAAAAAAAATATTATCTGTTTGGGAAAGTTCCAATTTTTAACAATTTTTCACTCTTGCTTTTTTAAGTAGAAGGATTAGGCAAAGTACAATTTTTGAAATTTTGAGATTACCCGTTTCATTCCGCGTAATTATAAAAAAAAAGTTCCAAAATTACCTAACATGTACCTCCAGTTTTAGCTAGTTAATTTTTATCGAGACATACGAAAATTTGTTTCACCTTGTTTTTTCTAAGATATTTAAGTTTTTTGAATTATGTTTTTTTTTTCAGGGGCAGACTTAGGGGGGAGGGGGAGGGGGGTGCCTGACGCCTCGTCTCTCAGGGATTCGACCCCCTGCCGACCCAAAGGGTCACCCCTGTTCTATTTTGAGATATCCATTTTTGGCTGAGGGACTCTAAATTTTTTTCTAATGGCGTCTTTGGCGCCAATTTATACTGAATTTGAGGGGGGAGCTCGCGCCAAAAAGCGCGAATTTTTGTGGTAAATTTTTTCCAAAAAATGCCTAAAAACGCCTTTTTTGGCCTGTTTTATCAAAAATTTGCCTGCAGCGCAGAAAACTTGGCGAAAACAGTGTCTTTCTGGTACTTTGGGAGAGCTCGTGAAATCAATTTGGAAAAAAAAGCTCAGAAAGTTACGAAAAAAGGCCAACAAAATTTTTCGAAAATTACTTGAAAATCCGCCCCCCTCGAGAAAGTCCTAGATCCGCCCCTGCTTTTTTATGTGTGTGTTATATCTGTGTTTTTTCGCCTCTGTGTTATAAATATGCTATCAAATTATTTTTTTTGTAGTGTGAGGATGCAATGGAAGCTGTGAGGAGTGAGCGACTGTCTTCGGTTGAGCAGAAGGAGGACAAAGTGGAACAACTCAAAGGTCAAGTGGCCTCCCTCCTACAACAGTCTGCTAGGTATACACTACTACTAACATTTGGGGAGCGGTGGTGAAGTGGTTACGTCTCCGCCTCTCAATCGAAAGATCGGATGTTCGAGGCCCACCATGATCCGTGCTCGTTGCTTGAGGGTGAGGCAACATTACCCAGCCCAGAAAAATAACCAAAAATTGCATGTAGTTCTTAAACAGGGGCACAACAGCGGTTCGCCGTGATGAGCTGTACAGCTCTTGTGTTGGTCCTTTCCCCCGTGGATAAATGTCTTAATATTATTATTATGTAATTTAATCGCTCGCACATTTCGACATAAACACATTTCGCCCTTCGAAGCTCCCCTCCCCCAGCAATTCCACCTCTCACAAATACCGTTCCTCGCCTGAATACAGCTAATAGCGAAGCATTTTTAAGACTCTGAAGAACAAAACTACTTATGTGAAAAAACAGTATTTCACGAATCGCTAATGTGTAGCTTATGTAATCGCATAAACCACAATAAAAAGGTATTTTAACGGCTGTGACATTTCGTCCCATGACAGATCTCGTCCCATTTTAATTTCAACAGATTTCGTCCCATTTCAAAGCGCACACAGATTTCGTCCCACAAATTTGGACATGGGATGATATGATGTTTGCATATGGGACGAAATCTGTTAATCAAATAAATAGGACGAAATCTGTACCAATCATTTCAACATCATCTGCCGTTCTGGTGGTAGGCCAACAAGCCCAAGGTCCATCAAACCGAAACTAGGATTACGATTCCAACAAGCCAAAACTTAATACTGTTATGTAACATAACGACAGATTGTCCTTGTTGTTATGCAATTATTAGGTAATTCTGATGTTATTTACTTTATTCTGATGCAATTTAGGCTTCAAGATATGGCGGTTTGTAGACATGGGGGTTTGTTGTTTATCCGCCGACGTTCTTTATTGGTATCCAGTTTTCCGTGGGAAAAATACCTGAATACAAAGTTCGTTCCACAAAATTTAGAGGTAGGCGACGGACCTATAGTTGCAGTTTACTTGATAGTCTAGTATCTTCTGTGGTTGAATGTTTAGTGTTCGATCAGAACAGGTGGTTGAATTGAGAGACCAGCTGGTGGCCTCTAAACAGGAGATTAGACAGCTGCAGAAACAAGTCAAACAGTTCAAGGTCAGTCCACTCTGTGCTGGATATAATATAAGGTTTAAAAACTGATCCCATAACCAGGGAAGTTCCACGTGCCAGAAAGAGCGAAAGATCGAAAATTAACAGAGGCACAATCTGAATTTTCAATTCAAAAGTCTATCAGAATAGCCGAGTTGTACTAGATAAACAACAGCTAAAAATTGCACCGAGAAATTTTATTGACACAAATCGAGACACGTAGCGTCGAGATGTGAACAAATTTCGAAATTCAATACAAGCGGAGAGGGGCGTGTTCTCATGATGGAGGGGTGTTCTCAAAGTCGATAGAAAATGCAGATATACTATTACTTTTTTTGCTTTATTTTTCATTTTTGAAATTTCGGTGTTAGGTTTAGCTCTTTTCCAGTTTCCCACCCCCCTCGTAAAATTACAAAATAAAGCTGATCAAAAATTGTTCTCTTGTATTCTGCATGTTGTAGAAATTTGTTCACTTGTTCACGCTGAAACGTTTTAGTGCAATTTATAACATGAAAAGTCAATTTAAATATACTTTTATATATTGAATTTCAGAAAAAGTGAAAGGGGGAACTGGAAAACAGCCTTAGGTTTTTTCCAATATCCGACTTTGAAAAGTCATTTATCTGCTTTTTTCTTCTAACCGGACAATGTTAGTTTTAATTTCCTGGATTTATTTGCTTTCTGTGAGATTTTCGCGACTTTTTTTAAAGTTTTTGAACGCTCAACTGTGATTGGCTGAAAATCGCTGAAAATAATTTCGGAACATCCGTCCTCTCCATCATGAGGGATGCGACCATTACAATCTCTTGCCTAGAACGCATGCAAGAAACACGAACAGAACACGAACATTTTCAAAATGTATATACCTCAACCTAAGCAATCTTTCCAAGGCATTAAAATCAAAGCCAATTACGGAAACTATCGCCAAGTTATGTAACAAAACTAATACAAGTTGTATGCTAGCCATTTCAGACAAAACCGCTACAAACTGTTATGATTTGTTAGAGAACTATTTTTTAAAGGCATTGTCAATTGAAATCGTAAGTTTTGCACCGAATATCTCAGAGTTTTGAAAATCATTTGAGTAAAATTGTTGTGCCAAAGCCTAAAGACAAACAAGACTGCTTATATATCAGGGCAAAGCCCGGAATGTTCCAACTGCCCCTTAAGCCATATCTAATAGTTTGTAGGAAAATAAAATCATTATAAACTCATTATTATATACCAAGCGCTCATAATTTAGTCCAGAGCATGGCCAAATTGGCATATTTTAAGTGCACAAATCTGTGCAAAAAACGCTTGGATGTAAAATATCTTTTTAAATTTGATTTTAGAAAGTCAACATCTTCAATGGGGAAGAAAAATTTTTTGTCCAAACTATTACTTCAATCACCGAAAATTGACTGAATAAAAAAACCACACCAAGCATAATTTTTCCGTTTTCTTCGAACGATAAGTTTTTCAATGAACAAGAAATAATTCTGAAGTGCCTGGTCACTGAAACCAGTTCAGGATTTTAGTGAGATGAATTTCAAAAAAGTTAATATTGTTCTTATTTTTTGCTCTTTAAGAACGAACATTGCAGGTGCCCATATCCTTGCAGACGAGTTGTGTTAGTTTTACGGTTAGTTTTTGTGTTGTTTTGATACTTTCTTGCGACAGCTCGATTAGAAGGTGAAACAATTGACGTTAGAGATCATTTAGACAGACCTCTAAATTTTTTGCTGACAAAGGCGAAGCAGTCAATAACTTCTGCCCTAAGAAAATATTTTTTTAATTTAACACAAAAAACAGTATATTCTAAGAAAGTTATCAGTTTAACTGCTCTCAAAGGACATCAAAATTATTTCACCTGATAATTTTAGCCTAGCTGTTTGATTTTTTGAGAGAAGTTAATGTGCTCTCCCTGCGTTTAATTGCTCTCCACAGGTTTATCAGATTTACTGTTTGTTCATTCACCATTTGTTTTTCAAATTTATCAAAAAGTCCATCCAGGCCTTCTAAAGACGATATCAGATTAAGAACTATTGAAAAAAGAATAACACGCGGCAGTTCAACTATATATTGAAGTTTGGCTCAGCATCGAAATTGTTTACAGGAAAACTTCAAATTTTTGTATGCAAAAGCTGACCTGACAAAAAACGTTATCAACTAAATTGCTACCTAAAATTTAGCTGTAATCGGTTTGGTTCACAGTCAGTACCTAAGAATTAGACGACAAGCAAATTAGAAGTCACCAAAGAGTGAATTTTGAAAAATGAATGAACAAATTAATATCATTGGAAACTACTCGAACTGTGTTGTTTTTGTCGGAAGCTTGTTGCTCCGACTTTCGAAGAAAACGGAATATTTATGCACGGTGTGGTTTTTTATTCACTCAATTTTCGCCGATCGAAATAATAGTTTTCGACAAATTTTTCATACCCCATTGGAGATATCAAATTCATCAGTTCAAGTCTAAAAAATATTTTACCTCAGATTATTTTTTGTAAAGTTCTGGAGGTTTGAAAATTGAAAGTGGCTATGTACTGGACTAAATTATGCGCGCTTTGAAGAATTTATAGATATTGCTGAGAGCGTAGCGCAATCTATTTATGCGTGGCGAATTATCCAGCACAACAAAATCGTTATGAAATGAATTGAGGCTAGCTAATCAGATTGGTTGTATTATTTTTGGACGACTCAACATTTCACACTTTGATATAGTTCAAAATTTATAGGTTTTCAATATTTTCTTTTCCTAGAACCTATTGGATACGGATTAGGGGACAGTGGGAACATTCAGGGTTTTGCCCTGATACAAGCAGCCTTGTTAAGTATTGGTGACTACAAATAAATTTCGTTAAATCATTTTTTCAATAAAATCTCAAATTTAAGAAACAATTCATTGTAATTTATTACAATTAATTTTTTGTATCATTAATGCTTCATAGACCCTTAAAAGGCAGTCAAAACATTCAGGACTTTGTCTTGATGCAACCAGTTTTGTTCAGCTTGGCTGACTTCAAATAAATTTCGTTGAATCATTTTTCCAATAAAACCTCACATTTAAGAAAAAAAAAACATTTTAATTTATTACAATTAATTTTTCGTATCATTAATGCTTCATAGACCCTTAAAAGGCAGTCGAAACATTCAGGACTTTGTCTTGATACAGCCAGTTTTGTTCAGTTTGGGTGACTTCAAATAAATTTCGTTTTAGCTTTCGTAGATGCACAAACTTTTCACGTATACGTGAAACATTTAGATAACGTGACAAATGTTTCACTTATATGATCTACGCATTACAAAAATGTTTTACAAAATCCAAATTACCGTTTTATAAATAATTTAGAATGTTTGTCAATATTCATAGTTTTTGTTCGGCTTGGGTGACTTCAAATAAATTTCGTTAAATCATTTTTCCAATAAAACCTCATATTTAAGAAACAAAAACATTTTAATTTATTACAATTAATTTTTCGTATCATTAATGCTTCATAGACCCTTAAAAGGCAGTCGAAACATTCAGGACTTTGTCTTGATACAGCCAGTTTTGTTCAGTTTGAGTGACTTCAAATAAATTTCGTTTTAGCTTTCGTAGATGCACAAACTTTTCACGTATACGTGAAACATTTAGATAACGTGACAAATGTTTCACTTATATGATCTACGCATTACAAAAATGTTTTACAATATCCAAATTACCGTTTTATAAATAATTTAGAATGAATATTTTGATTTGCAAGTGGGCTATATACGTTTTTACTATTTGTGAATTTTTGTTTTATGCAAAAAGCACAATACATGTCATCGTTTTGTTATTCGTCCAAAGTTCTATTTTTTTAGTATAGCATTTTAATAGTGACGTCTAATTTGCTTTGCCTCTAAATTCCTGTCGCCCTTCATCATCGTCAAGCTAAATGTTCCTAATTTTCTACAGATGTACTTTTGTCAATAATATTACTGCTAGCAGTAGTTTCATTAAGTACTGAAATTCACACCACAAAAAACACCAATGAAAAGTTTTTTGTTCTACGAATCAGCTTGCTTTTATTGTTCATGTTTATCTCAACAGTTAAGCTTTTATAGGTTTTTTCAGATAAACTGCTATCGAAAACTTATTTAAACAACTTTTCCGGCACGTTATGAAATAAGTTAATCACACGAATCCCCAGGTTGACAAAGAATGCCTATCCTACGGTTTTATAGAAAATCAATTGGTATGAATGTGGCAAGATAAGGGTTTTTCTATAATATGGAATAGTATGATATGCTTTTTCCTATTACCTGTAACTGTATCAGGGCGGATTTAGGGGGGGGGGGGGGTGTTGCCAGACGCCCCCCCCCCCTCTCCTCAGGGATTCGACCCCCTGCCAACCCAAAGGGTCCCCCCTTTGGTACTTTTAAGAAATCCAGTTTTGGCCGACCAATCTTAAAATTTTTCTAAAGGTGCCTTTGGCGCCAATATATACTAATTTTGAGGGGGGAGCGCGCGGCGAAAAAACGCAATTTTTCGGTCAAAATTTTCCAAAAAGTGCCTAAAAACGTTTGTCTTGGCCTATTTTTTCAAAATTTTGCCTGCGGCGCAGAAAATTTGGCCAAAATAGGGACAAAACAGTGCTTTGGGAGAGCTCGAAAAAACGATTTGGTCGACCTAAAACAAAGGTCGACAAAATTTTCGAAAATTTTTTGAAAATCCGCCCTCCGCCCCCCTCGAGAAAATCCTAGATCCGCCCTTGAACTGTATGATACGCATTTACATTTTTTTGTACAGCGAATTATAAGTACAGCTAACTATTTGTGTTTCTTTTTTTTTTTAATTTTACCCGAGAATTTATTAATCTTAAATTTTTTTATTAAGAAAACACACAACCTAAGAGGCAAGAATTTTGCAGTTAAACTGCACTCAGGGATTCTGGGTCGAGTGTTTAAAAACGTGTTTATAAATTGTTTCAAAAAAAATCTGTGTTGGGAAGTTGTGTCCTTTTCAAAATCCTTCCAGCATCTTTTTTTTAATTATGTTT